TTTTTTTTTTAATGGCATTGGCAGAAAATTTTTTAGGTGCATATAAAATTAGCTCATAATAAGCCGCAACGCTATTGTTTTCTGAACGGCATAAAAATGAAACCTTTTGGAATAATAACAAATTATCCGATAATGATTTTTCAATTATCCAATGTCAAAAAGGATTTTTTCATCACTTTCACAAATGTGGTCATTCCTACATTTTATGAAAAAGAAACATTGAATTTTTATGACCCTGAAGTTTGCTGAAAATCCTCTTTAACAGCGGATATCTCAGTGAAAAATCGAGGAATTAAAAAATTTCAAATTTTGTTTTTTTTTATGGGAAGAGATTTAGTGGTGATAGATGCCAATTATATAAAAATATAATTTCAAGGGTAAGTTTAATGAAATATTAACTTTTGAAAGCAATTGAAAGTGGATATCTAGCTTCGGAATTGATTAAAAAAAAAAAAAAAAATGTCACCCTTAGAATTTGCCCCAATCTAATGGTGATATTTTTCCTTTTTTCCCCCCTTNAAAAAAAAAAAATTGAACTTTTTAAATTCCTTGATTTTTCACTGAGATATCCGCTGATAAAGATCATTTTCAGCAAACTTCAGGGTCATGAATTTTTTTATTAAAAAAAAAAACATTTTTTGAGAAAAAAAAATTTTTTCAACAATTTTTCGAAACGTGAAAAATAGTTGCTAATGAGTTGTAAATTATCCCATGTCGAAAACCAAATTTTGTTAATTTTTTAACCATTTGTTCTGCTAACTTGCGGTAAGGTAGCATCAACGCCGTTTTTCAAAAACTGGGTTAGTTGAAAATTTTTTTGCATACGTAGAAAATTAGCTCCTAATTAGCTTTAAATAATCCGATATCGAAAGTTCAATTCTATTGATTTTTTAAATGATTATTCTGCTAACTTACAAAAAAGCTAGCAGAGACACGTTTTTTTCAAAAACGGTATTAGCAAAAAAATTTTTGAAGGCATATAAAATTAGCTCATAATAAGCTGCAAATTATCCAATATTGAAAATTCGATTCTGCTACTTTAGCCTGCTAGGTTAACATACGTTCCCTGACTTTTCCCTGACATTCCCAGACCAATCAAATTCTATAGCAATTCTATGATGTTTCTATAGGATTTCTATCGGAATTTTATTGAAAACTTCTATTTGTTTTTTGTACCGATTCTATTGAATATTCAATAAGAAAAAGTCAATATAGATTTCGAATTTCTGTTTGAGTTTTTTTCTTAGATTTTTAACTTCCCGATAGGGGAGTTATTGTTTCTATTAGAATTATTGGGCACAAATTTTCTAAGTTTTTTCCGCTGCATTTTGTTTTGTTTTGCAAAGCAAAACAAAATTGATGCCCAAGCATTCTCATAGAAAAAATCTCAAGAGAAAAATTCAAACAGAAATTTAAAATCCATTGACTTTTTCTTATCGAATATCTAATAGAATCAGCGCAAAAAAAAATAGAATTTTACAATAGAAATCCTATAGAAACCCCATAGAATTCCTATAGAATTCTAACAGAATTTTCTAGCGAATTCGCTAGGTTTTCTATTGAATTTTTTCATACGTGCCCTGTTAATATGAGCAATAGTTGAACTGTTTATGCAAAAAAATTCAATTGTTCCCTTGAATAACATTGTTTATTGCAACGTTTTAAACACTACTAAGTATCTTGAGAAATTTTCAAAAAAGAAAGACAATTATTGTAGGTTAAATTTGCAGGTTAGTTTTTGAAAAATTCACTCCGGTCGTTCACTTACCCACGTAAATAGTCCTCTTAGTATTATTCATATTCCATCAGATGAAAAACGTCAACAGAATTTTACTATACCGCAATATCGTTAAATTAAGATAATTCTGTTGATCAATTGATAACTGTTTGTTTACACTGAGACGCCGGTTTGTGCGTTCCCGACGTTGAACTGATGCACAAAATGATACTGAGTGTCTGTCTCAGTTGCACCAGTGGAAACATCCGACATGGTTTCACCCAAGGTTGATAATATACTATTCACCCATTGATCACCTACATAACCAACACAAAGTCCGGGGAGGGGAGTCACGTTGATTTAATCAGAGCCCGGTTGTCACGTCAAGATCATTCGACAACAAGTAGACTAAGTGAACGGACTTGAAGGTATGTAAAACTCAAATGTTCAAAAGTGGACATAGCGATTAACCCCTCTCACCTCCTAAACTATACATTCAACGTTTCTACATATTCCACTGAATAATTGCAATTTTTTTTCTGATTAAAAAAATTGACAAAAAATTATAATTTATTTATATTAACATGAATATTGCCTACTCCATGTAAAATATATTATCACCACATCAATCAATATTTAATTCACCCATTTTGCTTCCGAATGAAAGCATTGCAATTCTTCGATTTTCACATTTTCTAATTTTGATTGGAAATGATTTAGAATGGTCTGAAACGTAAAAATACTAAGTTTGGCGACCATGTTTGTATGTAAGCATGTCCACCGCCACCTTCCCGGGGTGATCGATTTTTAGAAAACTGAATAGGGGAAAGTGGGGTAAAATGGCCCCTTTTGATTTTTTCAAAAATGTTAACAGCCCATTCAATTTTAAATAAAATGATTTTTTCCCATATAAACTACACTTCTTCCCCTTTAGAATGAGCCTAGACTGATTTCAATTAATGAATTTGTCTCTGAGTTATGAGTATCACAAAAAAAATTCAAAAGAGGCCGTTTTAGCCTTCTCCATCCTTAATTAAGTGGCTAAAGTGATACCAAAAAATCTGAAATTTTGTCAGCCTATAGGTCTTAATGAGGACTAACTCTATGCAAAATTTCAGCCCGATCGATGTAATAGTTTTTGAGGAAAAGCAATTGATTTTTAACCAAAATATGTTTCGATGCCTTCTTTCTAAATCAATCAAAATATATACATCCGTTCATACAAAATTTTCGAAATATGCCCGTTTTCCGTTTTTTTTCATAAAAAACTTTGTAATCACTCTAGCTTGTGCAAAAATCGAGATATCAACTCGTTTTAGATTCCATTGAAAGTTTCTTTTTCAATAAATAACTCTCATTTCTCTTTAAATAAATTAACTGGTTGCCATTCAATGAATTTGAGACAACACAAATGTAAATTTTGTTATCTTATTTATAGGATAGAATAAATATTCTTCAAAAATTACCATAAATATCTGAGAAAATTGTATTCAAGTTTCGCTATTAGTACTGTGACAAACTTTTTCCGCGAAAATCTTCCTCAACACTTACAGTTAAACGTCTGAGCATGCAATCTCTGGAAAGTCTACTTTTCTAAGATTTAAAAAATAGCTGAACAGTTGCTATTATTGATGGGAATGAAGACTGTCATTCATAAATAATTGATGAATACTAACTGTTATAACTTCGAAATAAATTTCTCACATTTATAATGGAAGTATTCATATATTCACAATCTTCGCAAAAATCAATTCCACATTATTTATCTATAAGAAATGTTTGAAAATGTATGAATTATCTCAAATTTTTCTTATCCTCTTCAATTGGAAAGTCAATTTTCTCAGAAAATCTTTTAGATTCTCACGAGTGTGTAACTCTATGAGATTCCAGGGTATTAAAAAATAGACTTTTTTCAACTTTTACAAGAATGTTCAGTAGGTGTGGATCAATGGGGTATTGAACAATAATACTATTCAAATTTATTGTCAATTTTCAGCACTTCACTTTTAATGAAAACTTCACGTACAAAAAAATTCAATAGAAAACCTAGCGAATTCGCTAGAAAATTCTATTGGAAATTTATTGAAAAATTTATTTATTTTTTGCGCTGATTCTATTGGATATTCGATAAGAAAAAGTCAATATATTTCGAATTTCTTTTTGAAATTTTCTCGTGAGATTTGTTTTATAAGAATGCTTGGGCATCAATTTTCTAAATTTTTTCCACTCGGATTCTGTAATGCAAACCAAAATTCAGCGGAAATAACTTGGAAAATTTATGTCCAATAATTCTAATAGAAAAAATCTCAAGAGAAAAATTCGAACAGAAATTCAAAATATATTGACTTTTTTCCTATCAAATGTGCAATAGAATCAGCGCAAAAAAAACTAGAATTTTTCAATAAAATTCCAATAGAAATCCTATAGAAGCCTTCATAGAATTCCTATAGAATTTTCTAGCGAATTCGCTAGATTTTCTATTGAATTTTTTTATGCGGGAATTCTTGGTTGTTCTTGTGGGTGAGCTGTTAATGAATACGTGCACACTGAGAAAAAAATACTTTTGCCAAAGAATCATTTACTTGGGAGAAGAATTTATTTTTTTCGAAGCGTACTTTTCCAGGCCAGTCATTCCCAGGTGGCAAATGTCCATCTCTATATTGCAATTATGTTGACTTATGAGATGATTATTCTACATATGAACTTGAGAGCTTGAGAGCTCTAGATGATTACTGAATTTCCGAATGGATTCTATACCAATCTGGACATTTTATAATTTTCCATGATTTCCCGGTGAAACAGACATTTCAAATCGTATCAAATATGATGTTCTATACGTGATGTCTTCTTTTTCAAACACCAATCCACTCAATTCCCCTATTACTTTTTCAGTAAAAATTCGGCAATGTTATCATCATCTCGCCTCCTTCGCTTCCTTCGAAACCCCTCAAGAATAGACCGTTCAATGAGCCTCCTGAAGAATCAAGCCTACGTAAACGGAAAATGGGTGGGGTCGACCTCCTGCGAGACCTTCGCGGTCCACAACCCAGTGGACAACTCCACCATCACCCAAGTCCCCGACATGACAATCGAGGACACCGCCCTTGCCATAAGCTCCGCAAAAACTGCCTTCAACTCCTTCCGAACGACAACAGCCAAGGAACGAAGTGATCTCCTCCGTTGCTGGTACAACCTGATGGTCCAGAACTCGGAGGAACTCGCAGAGATCCTCACAAGGGAAAATGGGAAGAGTTTAGCTGAGTCTCGAGCCGAAATAAAATACGGAAACTCATTCGTCGAGTGGTTCTCCGAAGAGTCACGTCGCATAAACGGAGAGATTCTTCAAGCACCTGTGCGCAACCGAAAGCTGATGATTCTCAAGCAACCAATTGGTGTTGCAGCTTTAATCACCCCCTGGAACTTTCCCCACGCGATGATCACGAGGAAAGCTGGGGCTGCGATTGCTGCAGGCTGTACTTGTATCATAAAACCATCAGAGGACACCCCCCTGACAGCTCTAGCTCTAGCTAAACTTGCTGAAGACGCTGGCTTCCCTGCAGGAGTCATCAATGTGATCACTACGAGCCTGAAAAACTCAGCCCCTGTGGGAAAACTCCTCTGTGAATCTCCTGATGTTCGAGCTCTCTCCTTCACTGGATCAACTCCAGTGGGGAAGATTCTGTATGAACAATGTGCGGCAACAGTCAAGAGAATTAGTCTCGAATTAGGTGGAAATGCTCCTTTTATAATATTTGAAAAATCCAACGTGGATCTTGCTGTGACTGGAGCTATGGCCTGTAAATTCAGAAACACTGGACAGACTTGTGTCTCTGCAAACAGATTCTACGTTCATAGTAAAAAGTTTGATGAGTTTATTGATAAATTCATGGCGAGAATTGCTAATGACATTAAAATGGGAGATGGAAGTAGGGAAGGGGTCACTCATGGACCCCTCATTAAACCTAGTCAGGTGGAGACTGTTGAGAGGCTGGTAAATGATGCTGTGAAGAAGGGAGCAAAGTTGCATTGTGGGGGGAAACGACTGCATGACCTTGGCCCTTTGTTCTATGCTCCAACTGTTTTGACTGGTATTGATGACAGTATGGAGATCTGTGGGAAAGAGATCTTTGGTCCCGTTGCTGTGATCCATAGGTTTGAGGATGAGGAGGAAGTTCTGAAGATGGCGAATAGTGTTCCAGTGGGATTGGCTGGGTATTTCTTCTCAGATGATTTGTCGCAGATTTTCAGGGTTGCTGGAAAGCTGGAGGTCGGGATGATTGGGGTGAATGAGGGGCTTATTTCGTGTGCTGAGGCTGCGTTTGGGGGGGTTAAAGAGTCGGGTATTGGGAGAGAGGGGTCTTCACATGGGGTGGAAGATTTTCTTGATATCAAGTATCTGTGCATTGGGAATATACAGTACTGAGTGATTTTCATTAATTAATATTTATGTAATAAAGCGGTAAAACATAATAATTTAATATTCTTCTCACTGGGCAGACTTGTGTCTCCACAGACAGATTCTACGTTCATAGTAAAGAGTTTAATGAATTTATTGATAAATTCATGGCTAGAATTGCTACGGACATTAAAATGAGAAATGGAAGTAGGGAAGGGGTCAAACATGGACCCCTGATTAAACCTAGTCAGGTGGAGACTGTTGAGAGGCTGGTAAATGATGCTGTGAAGAAGGGAGCAAAGTTGCATTGTGGGGGGAAACGATTGGATCACCTTGGCCCGTTGTTCTATGCTCCAACTATTTTGACTGGTGTTAATGAGAGTATGGAGATCTGTGGGAAAGAGATCTTTGTTCCCGTTGCTGTGTTTCATAGGTTTGAGGACGAGGAAGAAGTTCTGAGGATGGCAAATAGTGTTCCAGTGGGATTGGCTGGGTATTTCTTCTCAGATAATTTGTCGCAGATTTTCAGGGTTGCTGGAAAGCTGCAGGTCGGGATGATTGGGCTGAATTGAGAGGCTTATTTCGTCTGCTGAGGTGCGTTTGCATTGGAAATATACAGGACTGAGTGATTTTCATTAATTAATATTTAAGTAATAAAGCGATAAAACATAATAATTTAATATTCTCTACTTTTTTATTCGTTATTATTTCCTTTCTTATGTGTATTCATATTCACATTTTCCGGTGTGATTTTTAGAAACAAATAATGAGTGAATTCAGAAGAAAATACTAAGATTTTTTTTGTAGCTCGTAAACTTATCTATAGAATAGGTTTCTTGACATTTTCCTGTGTGAGATGTGAGACATTGACTTATCATGTTTTATCGCTTCGTTATATTTTGAATTATGAGAATGAGATGTAATCTGAGATTTTCGACAATGTACAACTTTCAATGTGATAATCCTCAGTCTTCCAGTAGATTTAAGGTAATCAAAAAAATAATGATATCAACAGTCAATTGTTTATTGATTATAAACAAAATGAAATAAAAATTGACCGATGTAACATAATTGCTAGAGTTATTCAATACGATAAAAATATTGTAGAAAATTCATTATTATTTCTTACATTGGGCATTCTCATTTATCTTGACCTAATCTTTATCACACAGATAATTACAATTCAAGTACAATTAATTAATATAATATAAATTGATAAATTAATGCTGGATTAAATCAACCGTCGATGGAATAAAGCATTAGTTTAGTGATCGCAGTATAACAAATTCAATTGTAGACACATTATGGTTGAGATAAATTTACGTTGCTGCTGCTGCAAAATTGTCAAAAAATTTTGGCAGTATGTTAATTCAACAGGATAAATTTATCACAATAATTAGGTACAAAATAATTAGTATTCATTCAACAGGAAGAACTGGAAGTTGTTGAGGATTTGTAGTTTGCTGTCGCAAGGAAATGAAAAATTATAACAGGAATTGTTGAGGTGTACTGTACGCTTGCATTTATGGAAAATAACAATTTCGAGTAGCAGCAAAATACTTTTCATTTTACTTAAAGATTATTACTATATTTACTTCGATTTATATTTAATTTCATCTGGGAATGCTTCTCTCGCTGGGACCAGGCTGAGCATCATAACGTGACGAGCACAGGCACGAGAGTTACGGAATTGTGTGTCTGTTCCGTGAAGACGGTCTAGAACTCCGAGGACGCCGTAGCACTGATTAAATCTGGAAATCAATGGATGGATTAGCTCAATTCATTGCATTAATTCTTTATAGTTCGTTTTGCAACACATCTGAAAAATCCAATAGGAAATCCAATCGCAATTGGTACGGAATTTGTTGAATTCTTACCAATTTCTATTAAAGAGTTCAGTCTTTTCGTGATTTTTTTCAATAGAAAAATACTAAATGGTGAACATTAATAGATGTTAATCGATTTTGTGATATAAGCACTCATTAAGGGAAAAATTTTCAAAAAACATTCCCTAAAAGCGTAAAAGGGATACATTTTTAAGGCAATTCGAAAAGCATTGAATTTAAGAATATCCAAATACTTTGGCTGTTTCTTCTCCAGTGAAATGCTTTTCAAATTTTGTAATCGAACATCAGAGCTTTCATCTGAGCCCCATTTGATTTTAAGTTTCCGGCCATTTTACAATGATTTTATTATGTGAACTTTGCAGGTTTAAATTTGAATCTCGATATTGAACCGTTAGAAAACATTTTAAAAATATGAAAAAAAAAATTGGAAAGTTTGCTTTTAGAGGAAGATTGAGGAAAGAATTTAAAAATTGCAATTTTTTAAAATTAAGAGCATCTTTTATAAATGATTTATAAACAATCAATTTTTCACCATAAAAAGCATTTATTCGGAATCGTAACAAATTTATTTATATTCAGGATTTTATCAGAAATCGATTTGATACCTAAAAACATAAAGTTTCCGAAAGTTTAAACAATTTAAATTATTATTTATGAGCAACAAATGTTAAAAAATATATAAATTCTGTGCGAAATGTAATGTGAATGGTGCTGCATATTCACGATTTTTTTTTTAATTTTCGCATTCGTTAAAAAATTCTATTGGATTTCTATTGAACTTTCTGTTAGTTTTTGGACGATTCTGTTGAATCGTTCAATATAAAATGTTCAATAGAAAAAATGAATAGAATTCGATTTTGTTATATAACTTATTCTCTTGAGGTATTTTCTATAGAATTTCCTCGGCTCATATTTTACAAGTTTTTTTCATTTTATTTTTCTTTTTTTCCCATTAAGAAAATCAAATAAAAAAACTTAGAAAATTTGAGTCAAGAAAATTCTATAAAAAATATTTCATTAGAATAAGTTGTTTAGAAAAATCGAATTCTTTTGGCTTTTTCTATGGAATATTCTCTATAGAACATTTCAATAGAAATAGCCAAAAATTAATAGAAAGTTGAATAGAAATCCAATAGAATAGTCTGGCGAATTCTCTGGGTTTTTCTACTAAATTTTTTCATACGTGTAATAGCATGTTCCCCATGAATTAATTTAGAAAATTCCTCGAATTTTCGGAGAAACTTCAGAAAGAATTCGACCATTTCATAAAACTAAAGTTATTCATATAAATAATGCCACTTACTTCAAATGATGGAAGTCATGTGCCTCAGGTGAGGGGAAGAACGGTAAATGGTATCCGGAGTGAGCGTTCAGAGTTGACAGAATAGCCAGGGAGAACCATATCCAAGCAGTAGCCACGTGTGATCCAACAATGAACACCCCGAGGAACGGAGGTATGAGGTTCGACCCAATGTGCTCCAGGGGATGACAGTAGAGAGCTGTCACAGCTATAGGTGCCGTCCACTGGTGATGCTGCTTGTGAATATACTTGTACAGGTATCGACTGTGGAGTAATCTAAATAAAACAAAACAATGACTTATTTTTTTATGTCGAATCCATCGTGATTCGTGGGTTATCAATTTTAGCAGAAGTGAGTGATCCTGTCCCAAATTTCTCTACATATTTTTCCCTCTAATTATTAATTTTCAAGGTATTCGCATAATTTATGAAATCTTGGAATTGTTTTTCATCATTAAATCTCAAGGATGAATGACTGCGGTCATTATCGATTTTAAAATTGTTAAAAACACCTGTTAAAAACAGTGTTAAAAACACGTGAGGCATTCGTTTAATAACTTTCACCACCACTTCCTCATTGATAAAAAAATTTACCTAAACATTAAAGATCAAACCTTGAACTATGGATTTACATTCTTCGTTACTCTTCTTGAAATTTAATTTTCTTTGAGAAAAAATATCCAGTTGTTTCAGTTACTGCAAAAGTACTCTGACAGACAAAAAATGGGTTTTTATGATATTTATAGAGTATTCCGAGTCAACTCAACCAGGTCAAAACCTTCACCATCGCCAATAATGCTGACAGTTTTTTCTGAGCTGTAGGTGAACCGAGAAGACTCCTGAGTTGTTTTTTGGAGCATCGGCATAATAATGAGTGAAAAATATTTTATGCATTTGGATAGAAAATACGTAGAAATTTCTATATTTAATGAGAGAAAAATATCGAAAAACGATCCATTTTCACGGTAGTTACAGCTATTCAAAAAAAAACATCGAAGAACCATAACGTCATCACAGCGTGCATGTAGAAATCCCAAAAAGCATCATTAGCGAGGGTGAGAGTTTCGACCTAGTTAAGTTCACTTGGAATACGCCTTATATAATTTTATAAATGGAATTGCATTCTCTTTAATGATAAAGTAAAAATTTAAAAATTATTGGAGTCAAATTTCCGAAGTAATTATTACTTATGTAATATTTTCCGCTTTAAATACAATTACATTTATATTTTTTTAATCGAGATTCCTCATTTCCTCATTACTTCGTCAATCTGTAATCATATTCAAACATTTACCGATAACCGAGTAATCGTCAATTTCAATTGCAAACAGTATTATTGATAATGTAATCAGTAATCAGAATCATCAACAGATCGATCATTTTATCCATCATCAATATGATACTAAACTGTTCGCTTCCTAAATCAATTAGTAATGACGTTGAGAAATTACTCAATAATGGAAAAATGATAAATCATACTAGGGGGCTACGCCCGCTGCTCATTCCGCTCACCAACCCCCATATGACCCCGATGGTTCTTATTCTGAACCTCATGACGATTAATCTGACCCTCGTGACCCTTACTCCGACCCTCGAACCCTTATTCTGAATCTTCGTACCCCTTACTGTAACCCTCATGACTCTTATTCTGACCCTCACGATCCTTATTCTGATTCTTATTGTCCTTATGCTGAACCTTATCAACCTTATTTTGACCCTTAATATTGGAGTCTTAATTTCGGGTACTAAATTTTCACCACCAGAAGTCTTTGGATTTTTGTAATATAGAGACTAAAAATTGTTCCATTATTCCGTCAATTATCAATCCAAAAGAGAAATTTCTTAATTATTTTGGTGATCATCCATTTAATTCATCCATTTAACATCATTCAATTACTAAATCAATTGTTAATTCGAAGTTGTAATTTTC